CGGCGAACGCCTTAATGCAACGTACCCAATGTATCCAATGATTGCTTAATTGCCACATATTGCATTGCGTTACACTATTATGCCCCCCCCTAACCCCTCCAGGGAGCCGCGCCACAGGAACGGACCAAAATGATCGGCCCTCCTTCCGGGGCCCCAAACCTACAAACACATATGGAAAATCAACAAATTCGGCCTCTTGGGCCTCTGGGGACCCCAAGAAGGCCTCAAGATGGCCCAGGATGGCCCCAAGACGGCCCAAGAGGGCCCCAAGACGGCCCAAGAAATTCCCAACGGGGGCCCACGAGGCCCCCAAGACGGCCCCAAAAGGGCCCCAAAAGCCCCAAGGACGGCCCAAGAGGGCCCCAAGAACGCCCACAACTGCGCTTCCAGAGGCCGAAATCATTGATTGTCCTATGGTTTTTGCAATATGTTAGCGTTCTCGCCTTTTTGGACTCTCAAAAATCCACGACGGTCCAAGCAGCTTCCAGAATCGCCCCAGAACAACCAAAAAAAAAACCCAAGAGGGTCCCAAGACAACCCAAGAGGGCCCCAAAACGACCCAAAGAGGCCCCCAAGACGGTCCAAGAGGCCGCGAAGACGGCCCACGAGGACCCCAAGAGGGCTCCAACGCGGCCGCGAGAGGCCCCCAAGACAGCCTCCGAAGGGGCGAAACGGCGCAAAAGCGCCCCAAGACGGCCCAAGACGCCCCCACGAGGCTCCAAGAGGCCCTCAAGAAGCCTCCAAGAAGTCCCCCAGAAGCCTCCAAAAGGCCCCCAAAATGCCCCCCAAAGGCCACACAGCGACTGGAGTGCAATGTCATTTCCCCCCCTCCGGGCGAACTGCGGCGCAGCGCCAGCCAGGTGGAAGTCGGTCGCTGCGGCGCCCACGATTAGAGCCGGCGCTGGAAGGGAAGATGGGGAGGGCGCATGAAAAGAAGGGAGGGGGGAAAGGCCCCAAAGGAGTCCCCAAGAGGCCAAAAGAAACTCCCAGGAAGCCTCCAGGAGGCCCCCAAGAGGCTCCCAAGAGGACCCGCGACGACGTGACTGCACGTGCTCCGGACGTGCACCCCGCGCGAAAGGAATCCACGTCTGGGGGTGGCGTGCTGAGCGGCAGCGTTTTTCGGCGAACGCCTTAATGCAACGTATCCAATGCATCCAATGATTGCACTATTGCCACATATTGCATTGCGTTAAACTATTATGCCCCCCCTAACCCCTCCTGGGAGCCGCGCCACAGGAGCGGACCAAAATGATCGGCCCTCCTTCTGGGGCCCCAAACCTACAAACACATATGGAAAATCAACAAATTCTGCCTCCTGGGCCTCTGGGGACTCCACGAGGGCCTCAAGTGGCCCAGGATGGCCCCAAGACGGCCCCAAGACGGCGCCAAGACGGCCCAAGACATTCCCAACGGGGGCCCACGAGGCCCCCAAGACGGCCCCAAGAGGGCCCCAAAAGCCCCAAGGACGGCCCAAGAGGGCCCCAAGAACGCCCACACAACTGCGCCTCCAGAGGCCGAAATCATTGATTTTCCTATAGTTTCTGCAATATGTTAGCGCTCTCGCCTCGTTCGACTTTCAAAAATCCATGGCGGCCCAAGCAGCTTCCAGAATCGACCCAGAGCAACCCAAAAAGCTCCCAGGAGGGCCCCAAGACGGCCCCCGAGGGCCCCAAAACGGCCCAAAGAGGCCCCCGAGACGGTCGAAGAGGCCGCGAAGACGGCCCAAGAGGACCCCAGGAGGGCTCCAATGCGGCCGCGAGAAGCCCCCAAGACAGCCCCCGACGGGGGCGAAACGGCGCAAAAGCGCCCCAAGAAGGCCCAAGACGCCCCCAAGAGGCCGCAAGGGGCCCCCAAGAAGTCTCCAAGAAGTCACCCAGAAGCCTCCACAGGAGGCCTCCAGGAGGCCCCCAAGAGGCCCCGCGACGACGCGACTGCACGTGCTCCGGACGTGCACCCCGCGAAGCGAAAGGAATCTTGGAATCCCCTTTTCTCAAAATTGCCAAACCTGGGCTGTGGGGCACAAGTCTCCCGGATACAGGCCATGGTCTGTTGGAATGGCCTTCGGGGACTTTTTGGCGGCGTCCTGGAAGTTTGTCGGCGCTCTTGGGGGGCCCCCGGTGCCTCCTGGGAGCCTCCCCGGATCCCGAGTCTCCGCGGGCATCCGGGGGGCGCCTCGAGAACCTCTCGGGCAACCTCGGGGACACCTCGGGGCAAAGCGCTCGCAAGATTTTGGGGGATCCCCTCTTTTATTTCTTTCTTGGCGCGCGCGCCGACGTTGCAGCTAGGCTCGACAGGTGAACTCCCAGGAGCTCGATTCTCACGGTGGTTTCAGGGGGCAGCCAAGAAGACACGAGAACGACCCAGGAGAATGCCAAGACAGCGTCAGAGAGTTCAACAGCATTCCCGAAAAATCTGCGCAATGAGACCCCGAAGTCTTGATTGGGCCCACGATAATCTCGAAGAAAAAACACTGGATCTCCTTTTTCTCAAATGGTTCCTCCGAACATGTAGCGCGCAGGGTCCGAGGGGGGTCAAAGAAGCGCGCAGGAGCTATTGGGAGGCAGTTTGGAGACCGCTGGGGGGTTATTTGGGTGCCTCTGGGGCCCACTTTTAAGCCTCTTCGGGGCTCTTTAAGGCCTCTTCAAGCTATGTGGGGGACTCTTGAAGCCTCCTGGGGGCCTCTTCGAGCGGAAAGCCGGGATTGTCGATTTGCGCTCCCCCATTGGGCGGTTTTCGGGCCATCTTCGAACTTTCTCGGGCTGCCTCGGGGCGCTCTTGGGCCGTCTTGGAACCTTCTTGGGCAGTCTTCGAGACATCTAAGAGGCCCCCATGGGCGGTCTTGGGGCGGTTCGGGTGCCTTTTGCGGCCGTCTTGGGGCGCTGGAAGCTCGAAAACGCAAGAAGGCTGAAAACCTCAAAGAAAAACAAAAAAAATCAACGACTTTGGCCCTCGCGGTGCTCCCTCGGAGCCTCTTGGGGGCCTCCTGGGGGCCTGGAGAGCCGTCGGAACTGTCTTAGGCTGCTTGGGAGCGTCTTGAGCGTTTTTTTCGCGTTCCGGGGGCGCCCCGGGGGCGTCTTGGGCCATCCTTGGGCGTTGTGGGGCCTCCCTGGGAGGCCCAGGGGCGCGGTGCCAGGAGTTGCCCCCAGATGTTCCGGAGGTGGGAGACGCCCCCAGGCGGTGGGGGGGCGCATTTGTTTATAGTAAAGATATATACACAAATACAGACATGCACATATACACAAATGCATACATACATACATACATACATACATGCATACATTCATTCATACATACATACATACATACATACATACATACAGACATGCATACACGCATTCATATACACATGTGTGCAAATATGTATACACCAAATCATATAAACACCCGTTCATACATACATGCACACGTAAAGACACAGGCATACGTATACAGGTAAGTATACATCTACATGTACCCATATACGTGTGCATAAACGTATACATAAACATGTGCATAAGCATAAACATACACAATTTGCATGTACGCTTACATCTACATACATAGACATTTCACAAATATGTACACATATGTAGCGATGTGGTTCCTCTGCTGAACAGACTCCTCTGCTCCCAAGGCCGAAGACCTTTTCCGGGTTCGCCACTGCCTCTGCGAACTTCTGAGCACGAGGGCAGCCGCAAAAAGGGGCCAGCCTCCTCCAGCCAAGGGGTGGGTGGGCACGGTTGCGCTTGAAGCCAGAGCCCACGCGCGTCGAGGAGTCGCTGCAATCAGCGATGCCCCTCCTCTGCCGAAAAAGCTCCTCTACCCCCAAGGCCGATGACCTTTTGCGGGCTCGCCACTGCCTCTGCAAACTTCTGAGCGCGAGGACGGCCGCAAAAAGTGGCCAGCCTCCTCTAGCCACAACCGCTCATGGTGGAAAACGGGGCGGGGCGGGAGGAGCGAGGAGGGCACCGAAGAGCTCTGTTCGCAGCGGCGGCGGCTCTCGAGGACGGGGACCGGAAGGGCAGGGGCCGCCGTCGCTCGGCCTCGGCAAACGACGCGAAGCCAGAAGCTGCCAGGTGGCCTCAAGGAGGAGGTCGCCAGCAGCCTCCGCGAAAAGCCAGAATTTACTACGGGGGGGGCCTGGGAGATCAGCAGGAAGCCTGCAAGCACCTACCACGTGGATGTAAATCTCTAGCAAACGAGCTCGGGCACCACCATGCAGAAGAGAGAGGGGCGAGGGGAGACCGAAGTGAAAGGGCCACGAAGAGATGCACAACCTGTGGAACATCAAACCTGACGCGCACGCGGCGAGCGCCAGGACGTCTCATTTTTGGCGCGCCGGCGTGCACAACATCGCTTGCAGTCGCTCCAGAGAGCGACGGGGAGCACAAGGTCCCCGAACATCAGCCTCAGGAACTGGAACGGCCTCATCCTGCCGAAGAAGCCCAGGAGCAGGCAGCCGGCCCCGTCGACCCAACCCCAGGCCAGCGCCAGGCTCAAGGACGCGAGCAGCAGCGACTCCGGCATAGCCTGGTGGTTCGAAGCCAGCATAAGATGCTTCCACGTGAAGGGGATGTCCCATGCCGCGTCGGGCAGATGTCGGGGGGGCCCGATCGGCATCCACCCCAGCGTTGATCGTCTCAGCCACCGCCACCCGCCGCGACTGGCCGCGGCTGGCCGTCGTCGCCCGCGCGCCCGGCGAGACCGGCGGCGGCCACCCCGGCGGGGTCGGCGGCGGCCCCGGCGGCGTCCCAGGCGGTGTCCTCCGTGGCCCCGCCGCGCGGGCCCTCCCCAGGAAAGCCCAGCGCAGGGTCGCGCACCCGCGGGCGAAGGGCCAGCCGCAGGAGCCCTCGCCACCACAGGCGCGCCACCAGGCAAGCCCACCGCGACTGCTGCCGGCGCTGCAGCGGGAGCGCGGCCCAGGCGCGAAAGGCCGGCGCCCCCGGCCTCGAGGCTGGCCAGCCAAGGCGGAGCGGACGGCGTCGCCTCGGCTCCGCGGGCCGCCATGCTCGCCGGGCCACGGAGCGCGCGCGACGGGGCGTCGCAGCCGGCTGCAGGCGCGTCGGCGAGATGCGGCACCCGACATACGTGCCCGCAGCCAGCTGCAAGGGGGCCCGCCTTCTCAAGAGCTTGTTGCTCGCGGTCGAGGCGGAGCGGCCCTTGCTGATGGCCCCGATCGACACGCCGGAGTCCAGGACAAAGTTGCGCTTGCAATCAGGGAATCGAAGGCCCTGCTCGTCCACCGCATCGCAAGCCGCATCGACCTCCAGCAGGTTGATGTAGAGGGGCTTGGAGAAGCGGCGGCGGCGGTGCAGCTGCGGGGCGAAGCTGACGTAGTCGTTGAGCCGGAGGGCCTCGATAGCTCCCGGGGGCGCCCCTCCTTCCGCCTGAGGCGGCGGGGCGCCCAGTCCAAGTACTCAGAGATGAGCCGGGCCAGTTCGTCGCAGAATCCGCGCGGGTAGAGCGCGGCCTTGGGGGTCAGGCCGCCCTCCAGGACGGCATGTTTGTGCCCTCCGCGGCAGCGCCTCGCAATCGGAACCTGCCAGGGGCCTCGCGCAGCGAGGAGGCCGGCGCCCTTCTTCCAGGGCGCGCCGAACCGATCCGCTCCACGGCGTCGTGAGACAACAAGAACTGGACAATGCTCGCGTGCCGGGAGTAGGCCGTCAACGGGTGCCCATGCAGCCCGGGGCCGCAGCCCGAGAGAAGGTGCGCAAGTAGAGCCAGCATCCCCAGCCTGAAAAGGACGTCGCCCAGCCGCGCGGGGCTGCAAGATGGGTCGAAACCCCAGGGCCGCGACCTGGAGCGGAGCCAAGGGTGCCTCGCAATGGAGAAGCCGATGCACGGCACTTGCGAGATGGTCATCTTCACGCGCCTCTGCCAGATCAGCCATATGATCCACTCTGCCAGGCGCGAGTTGACCAGGCCTCAGTTGTTGTAGCACTTGACGTCGATCCTCGGGCCCGTGCGCAGGCCTCGGCTTGCATGGTGGCCCATGAGGCGGGCTTCCTCCCAGCAGCAGGGCTCCAGCACGTCGAAGTACTCGATGAGCGAGGCCGTCGGGTCGACGACGACGCCAGGGGGCGGGGCGGCCTCCTCCTCCAGATCCCGCAAGAGGCCGCCGTCCGCAGGGTTCGCCAGGGCCGCCCAGCCATGAGGGTAGAGCCACGTACGAGCGCCTCGCTGCTCGCGCTGCCGCCAGAAGGCGCAGGCGACGGGCGCCTGGGCGGGCGTCTTGACAGACGCCCCAGCCATGCGCGAGGCATCTGAGGCCAGCACGCGGGGGCCCCACCCAGCGGAAAGGGCCGCGGTCATCAGCGGGAGCAGGACCGCGAACAGGGCGCTCTCGTTGCAGGCAGCGCCGCTCAGCTCGATCACCTCGCGCGGGTCGCAACCCGCGTCGACCTCTTTGTAGCAGTGGTGGAGGAGCGACAGAGTGGGCCTCCGAAACAGAGCGGCGGAGAGGCCCATGCCGAGGAACCTCTGCAGGCCCAGCGCAGTGGAGCGCTGGCCTCGGGCCAGGGAAAGGCCCACCCAGGCCAGCGCCAGCCTGCGAGTGCGGGAGGCGCCGACGAGCTGGTCGTGACCGAGGAGCTCCGCCCCGATGACCGTCGCCTCCGCTGCGCCCTTTACCTCCTTGCTCGCGCTGACCTTGAGGCCGGCGTCAGCATGGGCCTCGCGCGCGCGGGCGAAGGACTGCTCGATCGCGCGTCGAGCTGCCCGCGAGCCAGGCGCGTCGACGGCCAAGCCGAAGTGGTCGCCCAGCACAACGCCCCCCCAGGCAGCCCCCATCGGGGGCGTGGCGGCGGTTGAGCACCCGCCGCTCTGGGGGGGAACTGCCAGCTTGGGCGAGCAGCTGCACGTGGGACTCGCACGCCCAGTCTGGCGCACTCAAGCCCCCCATGATCAGGCCGCCGTGGCATGGGGAACACCTTCTCAGGGAGCTCGCGGGCCTCGCGTCGGCAACGGCTCCACAACCTGTCCAGCGCCGCGAAGCCCCGTAGAGCCTCGGAGGGAGGGGGAGGGCAACGTCGCTGGTGCGAGCCATCTCGTAGCTGCAGTCGACGGCCGGGTAAGAAGTCCTGAAGGTCGTCGGTCCACGCGCGCAGGACATGACAGGCGGGCACCTCCAGGTCCACCAGCACGGCAGCGCTCGGAGTCAGTTTGGAGAAGCCGCACAGTGGAAGCTCGGCCGCGTTTCGGGCGATCCGGTTGAAGACGACCCTCTGAGTGTTCGAGTCCTTGAACACGGGGAAGAGGGTGCCCCGCAAGGCCGGCGGGGACTCGGCCGCGGCGACCAACTCCAGGCGCCCCACGTCACCCCACTGCTTCAGGTGCTGCAAGAGGTCGCCGGGCTTGCCGGCCTGACGGGCCGGCCTCGGAGGGGCTGGTCAGGCCAGGGGCCCCACCGCACACGCCAGAGGGTCAGCCCCGGGCCCATCCCGCGCAAGCAGCCGCGGCTCCAAGAAGGCGGCGGCAACGAAAGGGCCCAAGAAGCCCAGGGGGTCGAAGTGGCACTCGGACTTGGCGAAGGGGGCCTCGCCCGGGTCAACGGTCGCCACCTCGCTGTCGGGGGAGGGCGCCACGGCGCCCAAGGGGGAGTGCATCGCATTCAGGAGGTAGTCGAGGAGAGCCTCGGCCTTCTCCACGCGGCCACCTTGCCACATTGCAGGGGCCGGCACATCGGTCGCACGAGCCTCCTCAGCCTGGACACCATCTCGGACTGAGATGTGCTGAGAGGCCTCCCAGCGCGGGCGCGCGGCGGGCAGCTCCGCGTCTCGCCCAGGTCTAAGTGGGATGGCGCGAGAACGACGGCGTTCACTCACATGCGCTCGATATGGGTGCGAAGCCATCTCCTGCGGGCACGCACGCCCCGCGGGGGGGGAACCAGCAGCCCACCGGAAGGGCGGGGGCCGGGCAGCAGACCGGCGGCAGGAGTCGCAACCTCCTGAAACCCAGCGGCGCGCATGGAGGAGAGGACGAAGGCTCCGAAGGCCGCGCGGAGCCCGCGCAGGCGGCGGATCAGACCGAAACCGAAGCGAATGCCCACGCCCATCGAATTGTCACCGCCAACCATGCGGTCCCCCGCGCGTCCGCGCGGCAGGCGGGCTGGGGCCGCCTCGCGCAAAGCTCCCGGGCCACCGGGCTGGGGGGCCCCGCTCTCACTCGCGGGGGGGCGCGCCGATGGCCTTACCATGGCGCTTCGAGCCCCCGCCTTTGCCTCCGCCCCCCTGGACTTCGGCGCCGAAACCGGCGCCAGCTTCCGCCCCGCGCCCTCGAGGTTCAGGGCGCCCTCGGCGTAGCCGATCGCTGCAGCGACCAACTCGGGCGAGGCCAGGCGGGACGCGTGGCGGATCTGCCCCCCAGGCCTCGCAGGGCAAGCCTCCCCAGCACACCTAAGGCGATCAGGGGGGTCGTCGGAGACGCCCCCGAGACCCGCAAGACAGCACAAGAGCGCCCCAAGAGCGACCCACGCGACCTCAAGATGGCCCAAGAGGCCGCCTGGACGGCCCCAAAGAGGCCTCCAAGAGCACTTCCAAGAAGGCCCCAAGAGGCACATATCATTAAGTTTCTGTTGGTTTTTGGTGAATTTGGGGGCTCTCCTCTTTTCGGCTTCCCGACGCTCCTAGACGGCGGTCTTCTGGGCGTCCGAAGCCGCTTGGGAGGCCCCCAAATAGCCCCACAACCATCCGAAAGGGCTTCCAGGCAGTCTAAGAGAGCAACAAAATGGCACAACGCGGGTCCAAGCTGGCCCTCAGAGAGCCCCATGGCGGCCCAAGATGGCCCCAAGACGCCCTCTGAAGCACTCCAAATCGTGACCGGGTCGTTCAGGGAGACCGCGGTTGGAGGCAGGGCGGCTCGAGGAAGCTCCCAGAGGCCCCCAGAATACGCCCAGGAGGCCTCCAGAAGCCCTTAAGAGAGTTTGAAACAACTTTTGCGAAGCCCCCAGAGGCTCTCCAAGGAGGAGCCCCCGCACAAAAACCAAAAAAACAAAAACAAAAAAAAAAAAAAAAAAAAAAAAAAAAAAAAAAAAAAAAAAAAAAAAAAAAAAAAAACTGAGGGGGTGGGGGAAGGCGCAGCGCACGGCGAACATGAGGAAAAACATGGAGGAAGGATGAAGACCAACGTTATTATGGCGGCGTTGCAGGAAAAGGCAACAAGGAGTTATCGCTAAATTGTCGGCTTGACCTTCCTGCTACACCGCCTCACTCCAAGCTTCAAGGACCAAGGTGCATGGCGCCAAGCGCCACTGCAGTCTGCATATATACGGATCTGCATAAGTGTATGTGTATATATGTGGTCATGCACACATGCCCACGCATACGAACATGTATACTAAACACATATATATATATGTGAAATTGCAGCGATTCCTTGACGCGCGTGGGCTCTGGCTTCAAGCTCTCATTCTCCGGGCGCCTCCGCGCGCCCGTCCCCCCCTCGCCTTCTCCCGCGGATACTCGCCGGGCCCCTGGCGGCTGCGGCGCCCCTTGCGGCCGGCGGGCGCGAGCTCCCCTGTCGGCCGGGGCCGAGGCCCCCCTTGGCGGCCCGGCAGCTTGGCCTGCGGCGCAGACAGTCGCGGAGGGCGAGGCGGACGCGGGCTACCTCGCCGAGGCCGTTTGCCACGGCGCGCCGGCGCCGCCGCCCCTTCCCCCCTGGCGGCGACGGCGCTCGAGGAGGACGTCTTCGCCACTGGCGACGGGGAGGTCGAGGGCCCAGAGGCGCGGTTCGAGCAGGCTACGCCTCCGCACGTGGAGGCATCCTCGCTGATGCCCCCCGGCCGCGGGTGGCGCGGCCGGATGGGACTGCGAGGTCACGGTGGCTGCGTTGCTGGTGCGAGCCGACGCGCTCTCGACCGTGGCGGTGGCGCCGTCAGGACGGCTCGACACTGCCTACGAGACAATGCGTCCGCCGGCCTGGGATCGCGTCGGAACGACCCTGGACGGCCATCCTTTTTCGGCCGAGGTCATGGAGACCCCGAGCGCCCTGGTGCCGCGGTTTGTTTCGGCGCCTCCCGTCGACGGCCAGGTCTACGCCCCCTGCGACGACGGCTGGCGGCCCGAGCCCGCGGCGGCCGCGGGCGCTATCCCAGCCGAGATGATAGCTACCCTGGGCTCCCTGCAGGGCGGGGGCGAGCCCGAGCGCGGGGTGCCGAGCGCCCTGCCCTCGCTGGGCCCCCCCTGCTGCCCGGTGGCGGGCCGCCGCTCCGCCCCCCGCCGGTCCCCGGGCCGCAGCCAGCGGCCGACGCGGCTGGGTTCGCTACTCCGGGGAAGCCCCCCCGCTCGCCGCAGCCGCTACGACGCCGCCGGACGAGCTCGTGGAGCGGCAGTGGGCCGACGCGCTCGAGGAGAGGAGGGGGCTGGCCGCCGAAATGGTGGAGCTGAGGCGGCGACGCGAGGCTCGGCGGGCGGAGACGGCGGGCCCCGCTCGGCCGAAGCCTGCCCCGCGCACGGCCCCCGCTCGGAAGGCCGCGGCGCAGCAGCAGCCAGTCGGGGAGCTGATCCTCGTTGGCCAGAACGCGCTCCTGGCTTCTCCGCCCCGCAGGGGAGGATCGGCGAACCCTTTCCTGCAGAGGCCACCCTCGGACCGACGGCGGCGGGCGTCTCGGGGCCCCCCTCGGCGGTGGGCCCTCCGCCCCGGCGCCCGCGCGGCCCGGCCCCCCGCCCGCGGGCCCGGCCGGGGGGCCTCAGCTCCCAGGCGCCTCCGCGTGCCCTGGCGGCCGCAAGGAGCAGCTGACGGCCCTGCTGTCCCAGCAGACGCCACTGCTGGGAGCCTTGGCTCAGAGCGGGGGGCGCCAGCTGGACGCGCTGTCGCTCCTGCCGGACGTCGGGCGCGACGTCGGGCTTGGCGGGGGCGCCGGCGTGAGGCTCGGCGTCGCGCGCGGAGCCGCCGCGCTGGAGCTGCTCTGCCGCCAGGTCCAGAGCACCCCCCAGGCCGACTCCGTCGTGGCGAGGCGGAACCGCCAGCTCAACATGACGGGAACCGCGAGCGAGGAGGTCATGGGCGGCTCCACGCGCAACGGCATCGTTCGGAAAGTCCCGTTCCAGCAGGCGAGGTCGTCGGCGCTCCTGGTCTTCGGCATGGCGGAGGCGTTCGATCTGATGGAGCGAGGCACATGGGCCGCCGCCGAAGCGCATGTGGCTCTCCTCCTCTGCGTGTCAGAGCAGGCGGCCCCGCAGGAGTGGCGCTTGACGTCAGCCTGGCCCCACCTCCCCGAGCCGCCCTGGGCCTCGATTCGCCAGGCGTCGGCGCGCGGGCCGCTTCGAGGCCCGCGCGGAGGGTCCCAAAGCCCCAGATCCCAGGAGTCCGGTTTTGGGGGGGGAGGCCCCCCCGCCAGGACTCGTAAAAATATAGCAAGAGGAATAAAGAGAAAGAGAGAGAAAGAGAGACAGGCAGACAGAAACACCTACATCAAGATATGCACATAGATGCATGTACATATAAGTGGACAAATATACACATAAAAATGCACCGAACAATAAACATATATAGTATATACATACATACAGACATGCATACATACATACATACATACATATAAACATACATACATACATACATACATACATACATACATACATACATACATACATACATACATACATACATACATACATACATACATACATACATACATGTATACATGCATGCATGCATGCATGCATGCATGCATGCATACATACATACGTACATACATGCATACATACATACATACATACATACATATGTGTGAATGCATGTACGTATGCATGTACACACAACAACAACAAAGTCACATACATGCAAATGCACAGTTCAACGTACATACAGGCTTACATAAACACTGCAATCTGCATTATCATGTGCATGTACATACACATGGGCATGATATATACAAATACGAATACAAATGCGTACATGTATGCATATTTGTATACGTCTAATGTACAGTATAAATGATCACGTGCATATCCATATGCACATACATATAGACATACATGTACACACATAGTTGTTATGTGTATAGACACGTACAAGCACGTAACGCATACAAGAACATGGAAATGTACACGTGCAAATTAATATGCACATACATGCAGGCAGATACGCTTTTTACAGATACACCTACCTATAAATACACCTATACACATATATGCATAGTCATGTGCCTCCACATATGCGTATTAACATGTTCATTCACATTAATAGATGCATGTGCATACACAAAGACACCTACGTAGATACAACACATATACATATGCGTACACGTACACAAATACATGTACAGACACATCTAGATATATGTGTGCATAGATAGTCATATACTATGTATATACATAAACATATACATATCCAACATAAATAACCATATCCCTACACACATGTACATAATAATATGTACCATAGCCCCTGCTGCTGCGGATAAAAGTGCGGGGGCGGCGTTTGCGTCGACAGACCGCGAGGTTCTGAAGAAGCCCGCTGAAGGCGCCGATTTTTCGTCGCCGAATCCCACCGGCCCTTTACGGCGTCGGTGGTCTAGAGAGCTTCCTCTTCCAACCCCCATTATTTCCCCTCGGGGAGGGGTTTACCCCTCCCCTTACCCCTCCCCACTGACCTGGACCGGGCGTTTCGCGACGCGTTGGGACGTCCAAGATGGCCCAAGATGGCTCCAAGAGCGCCCCAAGAG